CTTGTTGAGTACACCTTCTGACGTGACGACAGTGATCTGAATGGTACCTACCTGCTTAGCAGTAATAGGTCCGGCTCCAGTATTAATTGTAGCAGGAGCAGTGTCGTGTAGAATTTGGAACTTGTTGCGATCATTGCAGATGTGATCGCTGCTTCCAGTATCGATAATAAATCGTTGTTTGAAATTAGAGGTCTCCTTGGTGAGACTCTGTACCTTCTCTGACAGATGAACTGTTGTAAAGGTAAAACCTTCAGCATTAATAGCTGCGGCGTTGGTGCTAGTGGGCTGTTGTTTGCCTTGTTGTTGAGCTTGGCGCTGACGCCAGGCTTCAGTGGCGAGGTGAGGAAAGGTGTACCAGCAGTTATCACCTCCTCCAGTATGGTTGCAGTCGCAGTGCTTGCAGTATGGGGAGGTATTTGTAGGTCTCTGAGTCGCACCCCCAGAACCTCTACCTCGTCCGCGCTGGGCTCGCCCATTGCCTCGATTGCCGCGGCCACGGGTGGCGCTTCTGTTGGCGTCGTTGTTATCACTAAGAGGCTGACTGCGGTTGTTGTCACCCCCAGAAGCTCGGATAGACGTGTTAATGGTCTTGATTGGGTCGTCGCGGCGGGCCTCGTCAATAAGCTCGCTACACATGCGATCGACGTTCAGAGTAACGTTGCGGCGCAGATCAGCGCGGCGATCGCGTCCGTAGTCCGGGTAGGCGTTGTTGATAGCAAGAATGAACTGATACACTCGAGCTTTGTTAGATAGCTTACAGTCTGCGATGACGTCAAGCTTTGCAAGTCCTGCTTTGAACTTGTCGGTGAAGTTGGCTGTAGAGGGGCAGTCTTGAGCTCTCAGCTTGAAGAAATCTGCCCAGATAGTACACTCTTCAGTGACGCCTTGTTCACGATAGCGTGCGGTAATAGCTTCGTACTTCTGCCTTACAGTAGGCAGGTTCATGACGTTGTCCCATACTGATCTTGGTACTGTATTAAGTATGGCCAAGGTGAGAGACGATTCTCGGGAGTTGTAGATACGATAGAGCTCACAGTCTTTGTCGTACTGTGTAGTAACTTCTTTGTTGTGGGCTCGTACGCGTTGTTGAGCGTCAAGCAGAAGTTGTGGCGTGTTGAATGCCGATGACGTAGTTGTCGGTTCAGTTTGATAGTGAGGTGTTTCTGGGTATGGAACCACGTAGCTGCCGTCGAGTAGACCTCCGATAGAGTGAATATTTGCGTACAGCTTCAATGCTGCTTCCCAGTGGTAAGCGTTGCTACCATCTGCTTGTAGCTTTGGGATCGCGTCCATCGCTGTGGATGGCGCCATCGTGACTTTATCGTCGTCGTCGTCGCGCGAGTGACTGATGTTGTGTTCAACTGATCGGTTCTGCTGCTGCGGAAATCGCACCTCTAGAGCACTTTATCGTGATAGAGGAGGGCTCATAACCTGATGAAGGTGGAGAAAACGTGCGTGAACTTGTTGTATTGGAGCTACGGGAGAAGGGAGAATATCTATGGTGCGCGCACGGAGCAGCTGACTAATCAGTGCCTGGCCAATCAGAGCACGGGAAGCCTGATTCACCGTGAATACTAGTGAAGGCTCTCACCGCGTCTCGACAGAAATGTCGAGTCATTCTGTGGCTGCCTATAAACATTCAATATGCGGTAGCCGTTGGCCTCGATCCATAGCACATCCCGGCTGATGCGTGGGTGTATAAGAGTAGCCCTTATATTTGGGCTCTTACGGGTATAGGTGAGCACCCGTGGTCGGTCAGTTCCCCACTTTCGCAACGCAGAGTAGGACACCTCAACTACCCACCATCTGAAGCGGCATTGGTTCAAAGCCGGGGTTTAATCCTACCTTTAGATAAAGATAGACGCGGCATTCGCTACCTTTAAGCTAGAGCTTTTAGAGTCGGGTTAAGGATATATCTATAGCTCGTTGCTATTCTTCTCTACCTATCTTTTAGGCCTTTTCGTGCGCAGTGTTAGTAGTAGAGAGCCTTTCTTGTTCGAATGTCGCCGCTGTGTCCCTAGCGGCAGTATTACTATGTTGCTCTTAGTCTGTGTCTTCGGTGTCATCTTCATCGTATTGTTCATCTTCGGCGCATCTCTATCAGCCGTGGGCTTACATTACCTGTCGTTGCCGGCAACTGGCTGGGACTGGTTGGTCTGAATCTCGTCGCCCTTGACGTCTTCCAGCTTTACCAATTACGATGGGTACACCCAACCCATTTAGTTACTAGCGTAGGCGCAGGATTCTAGCTTAGTCTGAGTTAGGCCACCCGAAGATTCCGGGTGCTAATTTAGAACCAACACAGTAAGCTCGTAATATGAGTTGTGATATCGTCTTTGGCAGGCGCATGCGGTGCATTGCAGAGTCACTGTACGCATTGTGCGCATTGTGCGCAGTGCGAGGTTCAGGTCTTCTCTTTGCAATGGGATCGGAGAAATTGGCCGAGATTCTCTGGTAAAGCAGGTCCTCATCCATCATATCTGTCGCTAATAAGGGAGGTTTGAGACTCATCGTCATAGGTAATTGTCCTCGACATCCACGGTTCATTGCCATTCCATCCCATAGTTGACTTAGACCCTGCCTAAGAAACTATACTCACCGCTTACAACTACACTTAAATGACTTAGCACAACTCTATGAGTCATAGAGCGAACGCGCACATTTCACCTCGCACATTGCACCTCGGAGAAATTGACTGAGATTTATTGAGGTGGTCAGCAAGATCGGGGTTCTCCCAAGTCAGGTTGACCAACGTTTGCGGGCAGGGCTCACATGAGGCACGGCTGTAAATAATTTGCCGGTCGTAAGTTCTGGCCCAAATCCCGAAAAATGACCAAAAAAAACCACTGAATCAATAGCCGCAAGTTCCGACGCAAGTAAGCTCGTAATATGAGTAAGCATATGATGAATGTGGTATATATTGTGTTCGCGTGTACTGAATTTTTTGAATCATCAAAACTTTGTACAGAAAACAGTAGATCTACCACAATATCTACATCACGTCAGAAAATTATCCAGATTATTATCCTCTTTTGGACGTTGAGCGCTCATCTTGTATCTGCGTTAACATACCGATACGTCATTACCTACGGCGCTAGAGATTACATCTGCCATGCGACGGTATCGGTCTATATCAATTCCAGCAATCCTGCCACAGCACCGGAGGTTACGTTAAGATCAGCATACTGCGTGACGGCGAATGGTGCCTCAGGGGAAAACTATGATATACCACTCAATGCCAACTCCGGATTAAACGCCTACATTCGCAATCTAGGCCCTGCCACGAACAGGGGCGACAGAGGCTTCGAGATCGGATTGAATCAGGCACATCAAAACCTTCCTGGCGTCGAAATTCCAGCTATGACTCCTCGGCTCAACCTTTACACCAACTCCCGAGGAGAGCCTTTGGGCGCATGCAGTTATAGGCAGGGCGCAGTGATGTTGGCCCAAGCCGACGGGAGCCGAATAGAGCCATACTCCAAATGTCCTGCTGGGAGTGCACTGATTGGATCGGTTGGGAGGTGGTTGATTTGTAATATCAATTGCAACAGGTTCTAAATATCTGTAAAAACTGCGTTGGGATAGACGAAGAATTAGGGACGTGAAGAACTATTTCCCTAGTGTCACAGCGGTGGGAATAGATAGTCCTAGCTATGTGCATTTGTGTCATCTCAAGCACTACTTGGAGATACTACGCGGATTTAGTCTTGGGATGAGTTTTGGTATCAGTGCGTTAGACTGTCAAGGACTTGGTAACTGGCCGATTAATCTTGTAGTCTCCATAGGCATGTTTGTTTGCTGTTATAAAATCAGAGTAGTATACTTATAATCTATCATCTACTCTACATGCTATGCCGGAAATCAAATGTATAAATTTGTACACTTGTAGAAGCGAACCTAGCTGATAGTACCTAGCCTGAAGTGGAATAAATTGTAGAGGAGACAGATAGTTTCCGATGTCTCTTATGTTCCGACCGCGCATCATTGCTACGCAAGAGGCGGGATGTTCTGCGGATAGATTACAGAATAGGCTACGATAATACATCCAGTCATACAGTGCCTCGGGAAAGCCAGTATCGGGATGTTTTTAGCGTTGTGTAGGTGAGGCGCGGGTGGAGATCAATGAAGTTCTACTGCACGCTACGCACTTCAAGTCTTGTGAGTATCCCACTCTATCACCCCGAGTTTTTCGCCGCTTTAAGCCCAGGAATATACATTGCGGCTAAAATATACATATCAGCAGGCAAGATTAGACACAAAGCGTTCCGGACCTATTTTCAAGATAGCCGTCCATTTGTTAGTTTGTTTCTTTACTAGTATCTGACATAGATTCGACGATGTTTAACAACAGCGGGTATAAGCAGCTCTCTTCTAAAGAGGAAAACCTAGATGATCCAGTTATTCAAGAACCTCAACATTCTTCCGTCTGGCGGGTCAAGAGTTTACTCTTGATATCTTTAGATATGTTCTGCATGTACATCTTTGGCCTACGATTAAGATCCAGAATCTCTTTTTTTACCAAAACTCCAATCCCTAGTAGGTAGTCAGACTTCGTAATGTTGACACTGATCGCCGGTGCAATTGAATCTTAACTATGTAAGATTATTGTTACGCGCCAGCATTACTCGTAGCCCATTATTTGAATTAAATCACGATAACAGAGAGACGAGCCAGCTCGAAGAAGACAAGACTGTTTTTATTCGCACAAGCCTTAATATTTGATCACTGCTATTATATAGGCAGCAGCAATCTGTAGACTTTCCAACTTGTAACGACAACGCTGGACAATTTCAACTGCTCCTACCATCACCCCCAATTGATCTGATAGTTAACATCAGGTCCCAAGACTGAATAGCATGTTTAGGGGTTAGAGACCTCGGGCCTCCATCTTCCTATCTCTCTCTTCACCCTCTATTCTCTCTTCTTCCTGTCAACAGCATATTAGCATAGGCCAGCTAGCTTGTTGAATATAAGAGAATAATGGTTACTTACGGAGCTATTTACTCCTTGTAAATGTGGGTGCAATCTACCTACAAGGTGTGTTAGTGTCTTTATAAGTAGTAGGCACTCCAATCTCAGAGCAGAGAGTACTCACTGGAGTGCACTCAGTGCAAGAACAGAGGCTGCCATCTACGTAGGCTCGGTAGCCAATACCCCCAGCAAGAGGTTCATATATAGTGCGCGCCTCGATAGAGTTTTTGTCCAAGTGCATGATGTTTCTAGCGGCAAGGCCTAAAGTTGCGAAAGCAATCGACAGGATTATAGAAATCTTCATGATGAAAGAGACTAAAGACTGGTTGAGTTGTAGTATTGGATTATTAGAGTGAAGTTCAGATTGGTGCTGAGAAGTTCTGGACAGAAGTCTATGGCTTTATATAGAGAGAGAGGAGACTAATACGTCGACTCGTTGTTGACGCCTTGTCTTGGTAACCGCTGTTTCTAACCTGAAAGATGTCTCAGAGAGCCCTTCTTGGCGTCAAGCTGCCCAGGAGAACTCTCTTAAGTGTCACGCCAAAGTTTTGACGACCCTTTATGTGCATAAGCTAATTATCGCCGAGGGTTCTGCCCAATCCGACCTTGCAAAGACTCTTGAAACAGCCCTTGCACGTAAACACCAAGTTTACATACTCCTGATGACCTAGAAGCATGCAATATGCGTTTAGTGGCCGCGGTATACCGTGTTCCAAGGATCCTCCATCGGTAGTCTAACCAGTCCTATGCCCATGCGGTGCTACTATGACAAGGCGATGTAAAACACAGCTAAAAACTTAGAACAGATATATTACGGCTTGGCTCTTGTGTAGTCTTGCTCTGAAGTTAACAGCATGCAAATTGGCATTGAAACATTAAAAAACACTGGGCTGGAATCAAGATGACAGTTATGTGGTTGGAGGAAACACCTGGTGAATTTCTTCTTAGGTTACCGATGTCTCCGTAGGCCGCTGGATGACACTGTTTCACTCTCAGCCAATCGCATTCAATCGAAGCTTATGTAGATAAAGTTTCGACCCGGTCCGATAGAAAGTATGCTCCCGAAGTCGTGATCTTGCGACGGTGTTATTTTATGTAATTATTCAGCCCATTCAGGGTAACATCTCTCTGGTACTGCATATCTGTGGCGCCGATAATCCATCCGACGACATAGCTTCTTCGGCTCCAGAAGCATACGTTACGTACGTATTACACAGGGACAAAAGCGCATATGGAGGAGCGTAGGCTTTCGTGCTCTGCCGCTGATGCTCGAAAGAACATCGCCTTCTCTGCGCACTCAGACAGATGATAGATGGTTGTTCGTCTTCGCTATGATAATTCGACACGTCCATAAGCTGCTCAGAGATCCATTGAGCAATCACTGGCTGCATCATTCTGAGCAAATTCAGCCTGGGCATTGCGCATCATGTAAGCGATATCGAACTCGAAGATTTCTTGGATTACCACCATTACTGGAAGTCGTCAACCGAAGACCCTGCTAACGTGTTCCACGGGTGAGCACGGGCGAGCGCTGCACCATGAAGTAATATGAGAAGCGCCGCCTTCTCTGGCGTCTGTGTTGAGGTGTACATCGCTATCGTGCAATTTTGTAGAAGGAAGGTTTAGTGTTGAGTTAGGATGAGTGCCATAATAGCAGTAATGGAAGACAGGAGCAGGTAGGACGGTGCTAGTTATCATGTGATTAGCGCGAGACGTGACGGACATAGAAATTATGCTTCAAATGTTTAATTACATAATACATAACTAGTACTTAATAGAAATCCCTTGAATATTAGCTTGAATGTTTATCTCTGCTATCCTTTCAAACTACTTCACCTCACCTTCTTCCAGGTTGCAACGCTGATGTCTTGATGTTCTCAGAAAGTCCTTGGAGAAGTTTCGCGGCATTCCACGCTGCTGGAAGACTCTTCATTCTCTCATGACTAGAAGTCGCTTGTGTCATGTACATGTACCAGGTATCAATTTGACGGTTCTCTTTTATCTCCATTGTTTCCATCATCTTCTCCACGTCTGACATGATACCAAGAGCGAGTCCAAACCAGGCCGGTCCAATAGGCTCCAAATTGTAGATGCTGTTCTTTCGCAGAAACAACCATAAGTCTACACAAGACATCTGGTTGATGCTTTGTCTTGCTGTGGCACCGGAAAAACTTATCGAATGGTCAAAGATTGTTCCATACACAGTCCGCAACAATCAATTAAGTGGGTCCTAGAAGGTTCAGATTGGATTGATTGATTACCGCTTTAAGCCTAGTAGTTACCTATAGGAGTTTAAGCCCTACCTAGATAGGTAAGTGGGTCTAGGAGAGTGACCGGATTGAATTGATTGTTGCGGAGTCTAGTTCCATATGCCTACCGGAATCGCCCCTCGACCATTGAGAACCCATCATGTGGGCCAAATCCGACCTTTCGAAACTTCTTGAAGTACATGGCTGGAGTGTATGATGATAGTAACTTTGGTATACCTTTGATACATTTCGTAGTGTCTCTCAAGGTCTCCATGTCTCTGTAAATTCCTACGGAGGGCGAATCCATTGGTAAATCTTGCTGTCCGACATTGTCGTTGCTGTCGATTTTGGTAGGAATATAGAACCTTCTTCTGCGGTCTGTTCTTCGCCATCAATAGAAATACGACGCCGCCTCGAATCTATCCACTGAAATGGTCGTGACCAAGTAGGCACGAAGTGGCTCTGGCGACTCAAGACCTAACTGTGCTTGTAGCATGATCAGCAGTCGCGCGTGCTGGTTGTTGAGGTGTCGGCCTTTCACCCGCCGCTCTTTGGAGTTGCTGCTGTTTCTATTGAAATTTATGATCGGCGTGAAGGTTGTTGCTTCTTGGAAAAACGTATAGTTTCTAGATCCCTAGGCATGGTCTTTCCTACCCTTATGGCCTGTTGCGACCCACAGCCGATACAACTCTTTCTTAATGAGCTGTTGAGCACTAGCATCACATGTGACTTTGAACACTTCCAGGCACCCTTGTGTTACTCATCGAGAGCAATGGCCTCTGGTGGCGGTAGGGAGAGTTCTTTCCACTTTTGACCTGGGGCTTCGTGATGTCTGTGTTCCGGGACGTATTGCAACGGGGGAAGTGTGTCATGTGCCTAATCGAATGTCTTTGGATCGAATGGGGGAAACCCCAGGCCCATTGTACATTTCTACGGAGGGAGAGTTCTTTGGTACGTTAAGTATCGTTCAAGGCTTGCTCCTGAGAGTATGTATTGGCGCGCGACCCAATAGTGGGGCCTTTGCCATGTCGGTAAAGAGGCTATTTCGACAGGAGTCCTCACGACTTGAAGATGAACTTGTCTTCCATACCACCCTAGCAACAAGAGGACTCTGAATTGCTCCCGATCTGGGGGTATATGTTGGAAGGTGCAATGGACGCCGATGTATGGCTTTGTTGTGACCAGCTCGTGGAAGCACCGATTTCCGACGGCGACGTGTTGGCCGAGACCAATGTCGCGACTGCCGATGTTTCTCGGAGCCTTCTTCCGAGGGAACCGCTGTTTTAGTGACATGGGAACGTCCCAGACAGTGGTGTAGCGAGCGGGGGTCGAGCGGCCTAATCCCCGGGACGTTTTCGAGATTCACTCCATGTGGCGATGTCTGAGTGTAATCTTTGGGTAAAGCGCACGATGGCGAGACTGAATGTTGAGCTCATCGTGTACACTCATTGGCGCACTCATTGAACTGTCGACGAGCTGGTTGTTGGTCGCACACCGATGGTCATGCCCACTCAAAGGGTGAAGTGCCCGAAGAGGAGCAGTCGACACCGACCGTCGATGTATCCGTTGCAAGGCGACGAAGCGCTCTTACGCAAGGAGTTACGTATTTATGCCTTCGATCGTGCTACCATATCCGTTAGTAAGATCCTCTGCGCGCCAGTGTTCTGCATGCTAGTATTAATAGGGCGTACCTGAAGTAATACGAGAAGCGCCGTCTTCTCTCGCGAATGTCTTGAGGTACACTGTGGTATTGAAAAGCTCTTGGTTTTGAAGGCCGTAGCTTGTAGAAGGAAGGTTTGGTGTTGAGGTGAGGTGAGGTGAGTGCCGGTATGACAGTAAAGGCAGGAGCAGTGTGGGATGGCGCTAGTATCTATGTGGTTAGCGCGACACGTGACAGACACAGAAAATATGCTTTGATCGCAACATAGTACTTAATACAAATCTCTTGAATCTTAACTTGAGTATCTCTCTCCACTATTCTCTCAAACTTCACGTTACGTTCTTCCAGGTTGCAACGCTCTTGATGCTTTAGAAAAGTCACATGAGGGGTATCATCTTGTTTGAATGCAGAAAAATATCACGACTCATAGTCCTTTCTCATGAATTTCTGGGTCAGCGTTTTCATGTACTGACATGGAGATCTACCCATGCTACGTCATGCTTGACAGGCCATCTGCTCTCTGTCTCGCGATCTGTCGAATCCGATTTGCTGTCTTGTCCCTATATCCTCCGTGAAGGTGTCGTACGATGTGTCCTCCCCTACCCTATCACTCGGTATTTCAACCCCTCAACCGCTTCCTCGCCTAATCAAGTGGCATTTTGAGTATGGGAGCATATTCAATACGCGACCTTAGCCCAGGCTGTAACGGTTTGGGCCTTGCCAAGACCGACTTGGGTGAGAGTTGGGTACGGCTATCGCTACCACACTTTCTCATCACACACACCTATATAGCTGCAGTTCCTCCATAGCTACACAATGCAACGCAGTCCTCCTCCTCTCCTCACACCGCTACACAGGCCAACTACTCTCAAAACGCGAAAAGTTGGCGACCCCCTCAGCTGCCCTTGCATACCTATCCTCGCGAGCCGTAAACGTAAGCATGCTGATCCAGTCTTCTTCCAAGACTTGCGTCAAGTTCAGTCCCATGGTCAATCTAACAAAGAGACAATGACTAATAGCCTTCTCAGTTATTGCGAATAGAACAAATGATCACACTTTCTCAGGTTGGTGCGTGAACAACTCCTTCGCTGCGGCAACAACCGTCTGAGTAACAGAGCGATGGTCTTCTGGAGGATGCGCCATCAACTCTTCGTGTGGGATGTTAAGAGACATCCACTGCAGCCACTGGGAACCAGTCCGGTCATAGGAGAATCTCGCATTGAGATCATCCACTAGGTTGTAACAGAATTCTGAAACGACCTGCTTATCTCCGAATATGCTGTTTCTCTTAAGATAAAGCCAACATGCTAGGCAGAAATTTCCCAGATAGTATGTGAACAAGTCGGGGTATTGCTTTTATCGCTCGATGAAAGACCGGAAGAAGGGGTAGATGGTGCCGTTGGGTGTCGGAAACGCGATTCTAGCATCGAGTGGCCAGTGTCAGGACCGAAATTGGCGTTGCGGAAGCGCGAGAAGCATTCGAGAACTTCTTCGGGTGTGAATTTGCCGGATTTATACTCTGAAATAGGCCTAGAAGCGACAACGGCAGTCGATGCATCAGGCGTTTTGTTTCCTTGGGGTTGGGTCTGGTGATCTGTTGTTGCATTAGTAGTCATTGTCAGGTTTGACAGATCTTTACTGGGTTCTCTATCTTGCTTCTTGCTGTTCTTAGTCCTCACTGATTCGAGCTTCAGACTAAGGTAACTGCGTCGGGACATGAGTCCTTGAATAGTGCGAAGGCTCTCCTCAATCTGCTCGTTTAGCGCAACGCGCTGTTGTAGCTGTTGAAGATGCTTTGATGGTTCTCGGTCACCGAAGTTGTACTGGACGTAGTCTTTGATGACCTCCAAGTCTGTTGCCATGGAATCTGGAATGCTAGCTCTCTCCTGCTGTTGCGCCATGAGCGTCGTCTGGCAGCCAGTGATCTGGCGCTCGAGGTCCTCCAATAGCTGACGTAGGTCTCCTATGATGCTCTGCTTTCTCGAGATACTGAGACGTAGCGGAATGGGGAGGGGTGATTGTAAAGCACAAAACAAAGCAGGCAGAAGATAAGGTACGGAGCCCTGGGTGAGTGACCAAGTGCGCAAACGAACATGCCCCACAAGTCTTCCTCTCTCACCTTGAAATTCGAGGTGAGTGTGGCTCCTTCTACCACGTGATACTCGGGCAGTGATCGGAATGGTCTGGTCTGGTCTGGTCTGAGGGTACAGACCAGACCAGACCAGGTGCTTACATAAGGACCGGTCCGACCAGACCGGTCCGACCAACAAGACCGCCAAGAATGAGGCTGAAGCAAAGAAGGAAGCCGAGGAAATGTGTTTTACTACTGACTGTCAATCTAGTCGTCTTCGTTCTCACTATCCTCGATATCGCTGTTCCCCTCAGCTTGGGGCTTTCCATACCAGGCCCGGAGACACTCGCACGCTTCTATAATATCTGCCTTCAGCCTACCACGGCGATCGACGATAGTAAGCTTCGCGCTACTAAAAAGACGTTCGCATTCATCCGACATAGGCGAGATCGCAAACATGTCTAGAGCGAAGCGAGCGAGATCTCGTTGGGAGTCGTAGCGAGATAGCCAGTACGCAATAGCCTCATTGCAACCTGCCTCTTCGTTATGAAGCCGGTCAGTAGAGATGTATTGTTCATACAAATCAGTTGTAGAAACTGGAGCGTCTATTCGAATGCGCTTATGTTCCCGCTGGCGATCAAATGCTGGGTCAGGATCTCTCTCCTTCCTGGCTGGTGGTGGCAGCATCTCGACAGGGTACCTTCCCTTATACTCTGTCTCCCAGAGATGCTTCACCGCTAATTGTGCGTTTTCAAACCACCTCTTCTTCTCTTCGTCGCCATGAAGAACCCACTCTTGCCTGAACCATCCCCACTTGCGATATGGATCAAGGATTTGAGCCGCATAATATGCCGGTGGAAGGTCAGTATCTCAGGGAATCGATTTTGCCAATTCAGCTGCTGATTGTTATAGTACTCAACGCACTTTAACCAAGCAGCATCAGCGCAGCCTTGAAGGTACTTCCATGTAAAGTTGTTATCGTCCTCAGTGTGGATGTCGTGGTAGTGATCCTTCGTCTCGCTTATCTCCCGGAGAAGGCAGTCCAAAGTTGAAAACCAGTCCGCAAGTGACGTCTTCTTACCTTCAGAAAGCAAAGTTGCAGCATAGAAGTCTTTGAGAGCGAGTTCAATCTTTTCAAGCTCAAACCAGTGCTGTCCATCAAGCTTAAAGTTCGCGATCCCTACGGAGCCCTTTCCAGGTACATGACGAGCCGAGAAGAGCTCTAAACGTTCTCGAACATTTAATGCACGTGTAATCGAATAAAACCATGAGTTCCAGCGGGTCGAGTTGTTCTGGATAAGCTCAAGCCCGTCGAATTGCGAAAGATCTCCGCCGATAATAATTGTAGCAAACTCCTCACGCCGTTGTGGAGTAAGCCTGATGTATCGCACCAGGTTGTGAAGACGACCCAAACATCCGAACTTCTTCCAGAGCTCTTCCACCTTCGTATAGTCGCCACGTTGATGATGCTTCTCCAGCTTCGCAAGATACTTCTCACAGTTTCGCCCCATAAGGAACGCCTGGCAACAGAGGTTGATGACATGGCCCAAGCAACGCAGCCGGCGATGACGACGTTGTTTTGACTTCATCCATGGGCAGAGATCCTTGAGTATAAACTCAACAGCGGTATCATTTGCCGAGGCATTATCCAGCATAAAGTATCCAATCTGATCTCCGCTAATGTCGTATTCTTCCAGCAATTCAAGGACCACCGATCCAAGATTCTCTCCAGTATGTTCGCCGTATATACGTCGCATACCTAAAGCGGTAACACGTCGCATGCCGGTAGTATCAATCCACATAGCGACGACGCCTAGGATAGCGTAAGGGTTTGGTGAAGTCCAGAGATCAAAGGAGATAGAGATCCTACTCCGTGAATGGTGTAGGTCCTCCCTAAGCTGTTGCTTCTTCGATATGAATGCATTCATTACCCAGCTTCGGATAGTCTTCGCAGCCTTCGGGAGGTGGTTGAGTAGTGCCGGATTTAAAAAGAGGAGTAGTTCACGAAAGTACTGGTTCTCTAATTGAAAGAAGGCGATATGGCAGTACACAATCCAACGAATTAGAAGCTCTTTAAACTTCTCTACTGACTCCTTCCAGAAAAAGATGCTGGAAGCAGCCCCATCCTTTTGCTGGTCGATTATAGACTTCCGTACAGAACCCTTTCGCTTGATGCCACTCTGGGGATCAATCTGGTGCTTCTGTTCCAGGTGATTCCGGATCCTAGAAGTGCCATTGATGACAAACAACTCTTGCTTGCTCTTCCCAACCCTGCACTCATGGCAGTAATACACCTCTTTCTTATCGCTATCTCGAATGTATTGGAGTCCGTACTTCCAGATGTGTGATGTACCTTGACGGAAATCCTTCCTTGCAATTATTGCACGTTTCACGTACGTGATACCGCCCTGCACGAACTCATCTGGAGATTCGTGATATTGAATAGGAGTGGGTGATAGTATAGGGGTGGGTGATGACGTGGGGATAGGAGATGGAGTAAGAGACGTTAAATCTAGTCTTATAATATTCGATGGGGACGGTGAGGTTGGTGTTGAAGGCTCCATAACAATAGTATATAAGTAGGTTGTTAAGGACTTGATTGTTCTATGTAAGTAGAAGACTTACCTTGATCTTAATGACTCATATTGTGCTAAATTTTCTGGCTAGATTAGTCTAAGATCTAGTCACGTGGACCTATTTATAGCCGGACCGGTCCGATCATCTAGACCGGTCCGACCACGGTCTCAAAAAATCGCCAGACCAGACCAAGTCTTGGCGGTCTAGACCAGACCAAGACCAAGTCAGACCAGACCATTCCGATCACTGGGTGGAAGAGCTCTGGAAGAAGTTCGGATGTTTGGGTCGTCTTCACAACCTGGTGCGATACATCAGGCTTACTCCACAACGGCGTGAGGAGTTTGCTACAATTATTATCGGCGGAGATCTTTCGCAATTCGACGGGCTTGAGCTTATCCAGAACAACTCGACCCGCTGGAACTCATGGTTTTATTCGATTACACGTGCATTAAATGTTCGAGAACGTTTAGAGCTCTTCTCGGCTCGTCATGTACCTGGAAAGGGCTCCGTAGGGATCGCGAACTTTAAGCTTGATGGACAGCACTGGTTTGAGCTTGAAAAGATTGAACTCGCTCTCAAAGACTTCTATGCTGCAACTTTGCTTTCTGAAGGTAAGAAGACGTCACTTGCGGACTGGTTTTCAACTTTGGACTGCCTTCTCCGGGAGATAAGCGAGACGAAGGATCACTACCACGACATCCACACTGAGGACGATAACAACTTTACATGGAAGTACCTTCAAGGCTGCGCTGATGCTGCTTGGTTAAAGTGCGTTGAGTACTATAACAATCAGCAGCTGAATTGGCAAAATCGATTCCCTGAAGATACTGACCTTCCACCGGCATATTATGCGGCTCAAATCCTTGATCCATATCGCAAGTGGGGATGGTTCAGGCAAGAGTGGGTTCTTCATGGCGACGAAGAGAAGAAGAGGTGGTTTGAAAACGCACAATTAGCGGTGAAGCATCTCTGGGAGACAGAGTATAAGGGAAGGTACCCTGTCGAGATGCTGCCACCACCAGCCAGGAAGGAGAGAGATCCTGACCCAGCATTTGATCGCCAGCGGGAACATAAGCGCATTCGAATAGACGCTCCAGTTTCTACAACTGATTTGTATGAACAATACATCTCTACTGACCGGCTTCATAACGAAGAGGCAGGTTGCAATGAGGCTATTGCGTACTGGCTATCTCGCTACGACTCCCAACGAGATCTCGCTCGCTTCGCTCTAGACATGTTTGCGATCTCGCCTATGTCGGATGAATGCGAACGTCTTTTTAGTAGCGCGAAGCTTACTATCGTCGATCGCCGTGGTAGGCTGAAGGCAGATATTATAGAAGCGTGCGAGTGTCTCCGGGCCTGGTATGGAAAGCCCCAAGCTGAGGGGAACAGCGATATCGAGGATAGTGAGAACGAAGACGACTAGATTGACAGTCAGTAGTAAAACACATTTCCTCGGCTTCCTTCTTTGCTTCAGCCTCATTCTTGGCGGTCTTGTTGGTCGGACCGGTCTGGTCGGACCGGTCCTTATGTAAGCACCTGGTCTGGTCTGGTCTGTACCCTCAGACCAGACCAGACCAGACCATTCCGATCACTGCCTGCAAGACCGTAAATGCGGTTCATAGTAGCACACTCGAACACCAAGTTACACACAAGACCAAGAACGCATACGCGCATGCGGAAAAGCCAATAGCATCGATGACCAACGCGCAACCGTCAAGCGATGGCCTTTTCGGATCAACCGAAGCAGACTTTCCAACAAGCAAGTAAAGCAAGTCACCGCTCTAAACTTGACTTGCTTGGTTCAAACATAGGCTTTACTTGACTTGCTTGGGGTGATTTTTTTACTTGCTTGACTTGCTTGTATTACTTGCAAGTACTTGGATTACTTGACTACTACAAAGAGATTAAGCTACATACAAATTACCAAAACTCAGTGTTCCACTCTAGTATGTTGTAATCTCCTACAAGCTGCTCATCTGAAAGCTTAGCCTCGCTACAGTTGTACGGTTTATAACCAGCTCGCACCCATGACCTTACTAATTGAAGAGCTGCGAGTAGCTCACTGCCCAGAGCACGTCGTTTAGGTTCAAGAAGGTCGCCAAGCTCACTGAAGAGGCGCTCACAGTCGCTGCTTGATGCTGGGATAGTCATGATATCGATTGCAAACTGCGCTAAATGCGGGTATTTCGGCAGTAGTTGTATCCAGTATTGGACAGGATTTCCATCTGCGTTGTACTGCTCCTGCGTCCACTGCGGCTCTTGTGTTTTCCAGCGCTCAAACTCGTCAAGTGGAGCCTCTCGGTCATTGTTGCGGCTAAGTATAGCAATAATTGCCTCGTCTATGTTGTTGCTACTCGGCGCAGTTGTATACCGCTGGCGTGCTCGTTGAGGTTTGTATGCCGCCCAAAGCTGTTGGAACGACGCGTTGGCACTAGTAAGCCAATCAGCTTTGTCTGCCCACGCCACATCGCAGTAGTTCTTGTAGTACGGGTGTAGGCAAACAGCGGCGTAGTAAGCGGGCGAGTCGTCGAGCTTGTTGTAGTAGTCGTTGGCTTTGCTCCACGCGGCGCGGAGGTTGACGTTGAGGTGATCCTCTGGAGCCTCGGCATGAGCGTTGAAGTCGACGTGCTCGAACGGGCGCGCCCGGGCCTCAAGCTTGCTGAGTACGTACTCAAAAACGGGTATAACCTCATAGATTGCGCCGTATTTGCCATCCTTAGAGCGTCCCTCGAGGCGTTTTGTGGCGTACTTGAGCGGCTCTAAGCAGTCCTGGTACTCTGCAATCACCGCCCAGTCAGCAGCTCGGAGCCCAGTTGATCTCATCCAGTTTGGGGCGTCGGGCCGCTTATTATTCCGCTGCGCAGCGTGCGCATCTTCAAGGATAACCCTATTGATATGATGCTCAGCGTACAAGTTATACGCGGCTTGAAGCTTGGTAGCGCGCTCAAAAGCAGCATAGTATGAGTTCCAGCGAGTGACGACAGGCTTGACTGGCTCGAGTACTTTGAGACGCCCTTCAGCAGGCAGGTTGTTGTTGGCAAGGCGCTGGTAGCCACGAAAAAGCTCGTACTGTTGCGGCGTTTTGATATAGTTGATGACGTCAACTAGCACTCCAATAGGGCCATCTTTCCGCCACTCTCGCATATACTGCTCCTCGGTATTGTACTGCTCTTGAGTGTTGCCGTAGGCGTCTTTGTTGGTGCCAAATATAATAGCCTGGCCGATGAGGTTAAGCGTGTGACAACTGCAGCGGAGGCGCCGGTGAGCGGACTCAAATTCGTACTCGCGCGCGAGCGCGGCGATCGCAGTGTCGTTGTTGGTAGCGTTGTCGAATACAAAATAGCCTAATCGGTCGCTTGTTATTCCGTATGCTGAGAGCGTCGTCGAGATAGCTTTGGCAATAGCCTCACCGGTGTGGGCGCCAGCGAGCTCAGGCAGATCGATTGGTAAGTCTCGTATTATTCCAGCTGCGTCGGCAAAGTGAGCGACTACTCCAAAGAAGCCACGTTTACCACCCTTTGTTGTCCAGCCATCAAAGCTTACGTGTATTTTGCTTACTGAGCCTGACAGGGTGTCGATAACTTGCGGTCGTATAGACCGGAACAACCTCATCACAAAGGTAGAAACGCTGGTATTACTTACCCACAACGCTGCCTCTGCCTCTGGGTTGGCAAATCTCATCATCTCTCTAAAATCAGGCGTCGTAAGTTCGCTGAGCGGGTGGTTTCGGTTAACAAGCCACATGACAGTGGCTGTTCGAAAGCCCTCTACGTCGAAGTTTCCAAACGCGTTAGCAGTGTTTTGTTGTACGTCTAAACCAGCGTCAAAAGCTTGCCGCAACGACAGCTGGCCTCGAGCTCTCTGCGCTAACTTTGGGCCATCTTTCGTAAGGTTGTGGCCAGGCTTTGGTTGGCTGAGATGGGTGGCTGCTGAGGTTGTAGCCTGAGTAATGTTAAACAAACCACCACGGCCAGCGTCGATAGTTTTGTGTACATGGCAGTACTTGCACACAAACCAGATTCGAGATGTAGCATGGCGCTCAACAACGCGGTAGCCATACTGAAAGATCCAACTTTTTGGGCGCTTAGAACGCGCCAATGGCTTGATAAAATCAGGTAAACGTGCCCAGTCAATGCCGTCAAAGTTCTCAACTAGTGCGCTGTTTGTCTCATCCTGACCACCCTCTCCAGCCTCAGTTGTAGCCACCGTGCCAGCTCGGCTGCCCTCGGTGGGCGCGACAATCTCAGCCTCCGCCTGCGACTCTAAGAACTGCAACTCGAAGGTAGGTATTGGCGGCGAGGCGTTAGCCTGGCTTGCGGCAGCTAGGGTTTTGCGAGGTGATCGACGCTGAGGTCTAGGCTTAGATGCAGGCTTAGATGCAGGCTCAGGTGAAGCCTCAGGAGTTGAGGCGACGTTGTTGGTGGCAGCGGCTACTTTCGTACGTTTGCTCCGAGCAGAAGTTTGTGGTAGGCGACGTTTGGCCATATTGGGGGTATCAGGGCAGTATAAATCACTGGAAAACGCGTTGCTATAGGGGATACTGCATTGCGATAGGCTTCTAGACAGGCGTACGTCGAGATTGGAGCAATGCGCTAGACTAAGGCTAACGTTATTTGATAGCCGCTTAGCCTGTTTGGGACTCAACCGAGGCAACTGCAACACTTCAAAACCATCGCGACATCTACCGTACAGCAGTTTTAGCACCCTCATCACAGTAACGCTAAAACAACCAAGTAAACCAAGTAAGCCAAGCAAGCAAAGTATCTTGACTTGACTTGCTTGCTTAGCTGCCCAGCTCTTACTTGACTTGCTTGCTTGGTTTAAACCAAGCAAGTCAAGCAAGTAATCCAAGTCAACTTGCTTTTTGGAAAGTCTGAACCGAAGGTCCATTTCCAGAACAGTCAGCACCGATGGCTACTACCCAACCATCAGCAAGAGTACCGCCTATTCCTTTGACCAACTGGGGTGGATTCAACCCCCCTGGTCGCGGAAAAACTACATCAACGGTCAACGACGAATATGTTCAACCTTTTCGCGGCAAATTTTCAGGCGCACCAACTCAAGAAAAAGCCTCAGAGGGTGGACATTACAAGACCCGCACTCATCAACGCCGAGTCAGACCGACAAACTCGCAAACACTAGGACGTCACAGAGAACCTCAGGGATGAGTTCGATGGCATGCTTTGGATGACCTACGCGACGATAAAGACCTACCCAAGAGAACGAACAACCATGGAATTCCAAGACACGATGAAAAAGACCGTATCAAGAGAGTGGGACATTAGGATATCAAGACACAAAGGCAAGGATAAGAAGCCATTCTTACTGCCGCGAGGTTTTCAAGCGGGATAGATGAATAGCATATTAGTTCGTACCAAATACAACATGCTTGCATTGAAACTTTATAATGTAGTGATTAGGCATTGTGTATTGTCCAGGTTCAATGTCATTTATTTTTCGTAGGTAGTATCTCAGCATGGGTATGCTAGTTGTGATACTAACCATGGAGCCCACAACGCCTGCGAGTACAACAAAGATAGCACACGAGAGCCATTCCGATGGCTTCACTCGTCCGCAAACTCCCCTGCAACGAACCAAGTCAAACACGTCTTCTCCACCATCCCTTGCGCTATCATTGTAACGACAAGCCGATGGGATAGCAGTTCTACAAACTGCTTTTTGATGAATGTGCAGACAAGGGTATAAGCATGAGTCCTAGTAAACGACTCTCAGCTGCTTCAAGAAAGCAGGATGTAGTTCTTTACCCTTGAGATCACATCGTCGCTGTATTAAAAATCCTCATAAATATACATCAGCCGTTCCATTATCACTAGCAAAGACCTCATAATCATTCACCCTCGAACAAACGCAAACAAAACTTTAAACAGCTTAAAAGCGGATGTCATTCCTCGCACTAGAATTATTTAACTTTCATGGATATCATTACACACATCTCCTCCTCCTCCTCCTCCTCCTCCTCGTTTTCATTTTCATCTTACTACCTTGCCCTACGCTTAGTACGCAACCATCTGGTTCAAGCCCGCAGTCTCACGCTCAAAGTTCTTGTGCTGAGAAATCGAAAACAGGTACGCGCTAGTGAAGTCCATTGCTTCCTTGGCCATGTTGACAGCTTCCTTGAAGCTCTCGGGCTGGACTTTGCTGGCAGTCACAACACCGTACGAGTTGACCACGTCACCGGCAGCCGAGAACTCCATGCCGTGAAGGTCGACGGCCTGCTTGATGAATGAGACTGCCTCGCCGGTTCCACCAATGGCCTTGAGGTGACCAAATGCTTCACGGACCCAGTGTACCGCACGTCCGTTCTTGCTGAGTGTCTCAATTGACTTTGCGCCGCCGGGTACGAAGACACTGTCGTACATGGTGGATCGCTGGCCTTCGAGGTGGTGGTCTGCTACGACGCCTGGGCCGCTGCGGTCCTCGCCGTCGGCGTAGATCTTGTTTCTCCGTGGCGAGATGGTGAAGGGAAGGGCTCCGGCCGCGGTCAAAGCAGCCTTGATGCCGTTGTATGCAACCTGGTCGTAGCCATCGGCGATGAGAATGGCGACCATGCGGGTGGCAATGGTGGGCTTCTGGGGCATAAATTCCATCTGCGAGAGACCCTTGGCCTTCTTGTTGTGCTTGGGGCGCGTCTGCTGGGTAGGTTGATCGGCACCAACCATGTCTGCAACGCTCTGGGCAAGCTCAAGATCGATCTCGCATAGGCGCTCACAGAGACGCTTGTAGACTACAGGGTCGTCGCAGTGGTCAAGTTCGAAGGCGAAAGCATCCTTCATGTGCATCTTTTCGTTCTCCGACATGGAGTTGTAAAAGAGCTCAGCCTGGTTCTTGTGCTCCCTGAACTTCTTGCTTTGCATGCGAGCCTTGATGCCTACAGTCTTCTCGGGGAAGTCGATGTAAGCGCCCTCCTTCTCGGTAGCAGGGGGCACAGTCTGGAAGCGGTTAGGCCAGTAGTTGACTTTACCCTTGGTGATTGTGTGTCGCATAGCACCGTCGCGGTTGAAGTTCATGACAGGACAGACGGGCTTGTTGATGGGCAATTCCTCCCAGTTAACGCCAAGACGAGAGAGCTGAGTGTCCTGGTAAGAGAAGTTGCGTCCCTGGAGGAGAGGGTCGTTACTGAAGCCGATACCGGGGACGATGTGGCTTGTGCAGAAGGCGACTTGCTCGGTCTGGGTGAAGAACTCGTCTGGGTTTTGGTTGAGTTCAAGCTCACCAATATACCGGATAGGAACCAATTCCTCGGGCCAAATCTTGGTGGCGTCGAGGATGTCGAAATCGAAGTCATGCTCCTTAGATTCAGGGAGAACCTGGATACCAAACTTCCACTTGGGGTAGGCGCCACTTTCAATGGCCATCCACAGATCCTTGCGGTGGAAGTCAGGGTCTTGACCGGCGATCTTGAGGGCTTCATCCCACACAAAGCTGTGTACTCCAAGCTCGGGTGTAAAGTGGAACTTGACAAAGTGCCTCTCACCCTTGGCGTTCATCAGTGTGTAAGTGTTGACGCCAAAACCCTGCATCATACGATACGAGCGGGGAATCGTGCGATCTGACATGGCCCACATGAACATATGCGTAGCCTCTGAATGAGAGTAAGTGAAGTCCCAGAAGTTGTTGTGAGCAGTCTGGGCCTGGGGAACCTCGCAGTCAGGCTCTGGCTTGCCTGCGTGGATCACGTCAGGAAACTTCATCGAGTCCCTGGAGTGAGTTAGTAAAACTTCGTGATTACGTGGGTTATCCTAGACATTGAAGAGACGACACCCAAACCCCACATATCTAGCAATACCAGACAAAGTAGGCATGTCTCATTTCCCCTGTGGTTATGTGGTGGTGATTTGTGACTTACTGGATGAAAAACACAGGAATGTTGTTTCCGACGATATCCCAGTTGCCCTCCTCTGTGTAGAACTTGACAGCAAAGCCACGTACATCGCGAACGGTGTCAGCTGAGCCACGGCTGCCCAGGACAGTCGAGAATCGTAGGAAGACGGGGGTTTCGCGCGATGTATCCGTCAAAACACCCGCAGATGTGACGTCTTCTGCCGATTCAAAGAGAGTGAATTTACCAAAGGCACCTGAGCCACGGGCGTGGACAACGCGCTCGGGGATACGTTCGTGGTCGAAGCGGTGGATCTGAGGACGTTAGACCATAATTCGATACAAGTGGCGATTACATACCTTCTCACGAGCGAATTGATCCTCCAACAGCGAAGGGCCAGTCTGGTCGTCCGTTGCAACCTTTAGCCAGTCGTCGGTGTTGTTCTGCTTGACACCGTAGTCGCTGGTGATGCGCCACTTGTCGTCGTGGACATCCTTTGTGACGGCGGCGAGTTGAGCCATCTTGCCCGTCTTCTCACCCACGAGGCCCTTGGCCTTCTCCGCAGCGTTTCCTAGTATTTCAGACGCCATATTGTTGAAAGTCGTAAAAGATTGAGTCGATTGGCAAAGTCAATCGTCGTGGCAGACAAGTTTTCGCGCTGTGCGCTGCCCTTTGTATGGCAGCCGTTCTGCAATCTGTTTACACTTTGACGTCATGGCGACGTGTGGTCCGCTGCACTTCGGCTTCAAGTTGCCTAAGCCTCTGCCACGCGCTCTCTCAAAATGCGTTCATGCACTACGCTTACAGGTGGAGAGGATCATTGTGGCCAATAGCAGGACTGATTATGTTCGATCATCGTAATCTGAGCATCTCGAGTGACTGCCGAGGGACGCCGATGTGCCACGCGAGGCTCGACTTTGCCATGCCCCGCAACTAGTCCCGGACATGGTCAATTCGAGATTCGCATGCTGAAAAATAGCGCGGCTCTGAATGAACAGATAGCGGGTCTTGATGTAATGTTTCGCCATACGAAAGCAGACAGGTCCCGCGGTAGAGAGCAAAACGGTGCGTTTGAGGCTCTTAGGAGAAATCCTGCGATGACGTCAGCGACTGGAAAATCCAAAGGCAGTGCGATCCCACGTGTGAATGCCCCGCACGTTCCCCACTGTGACAGATGATTTACAAGTGACTTACAACGTGCGAGAAAAAACTTGAGCAAACACGACCTACCGACATACCATGGAGCGGCGGGAAGAGCTCCTGTCATTGTGTCTCTGCCGAAAAGCGGAGCGGATACACCGTTGAAGACATTGTATCGACAGCTTAAGCTTTAGCTGACCAAACTTTAATTATCGGAGCCGGAAGGAATTGAGCGACGTCGGTGTTGTCCGCATGAGGTATCACGATAACCGTTTCGTCAGTCGCAAAACAATGACGACGCTAACCACACTCCCATAATCCGCTGCAACTAAGCAAAGCTGGAAATGCCGTAGTGGTCTGCGTCTCTAGGGCCATACAGGGGTCCCGGAACATGCTCCGCCTAACGAATCTTGCTACAAAAAGTTTGTGAGACTGAAGCAAGCCGGTTAACGCTAATGCGGGGATCGCCTTTTTTATGAGGCAGGAGACCAAACGGTTTACGGAGTAGCAATAGCGTGCTTCAAGACGCGAATGCGACGGGCAACCTTTGAGTTTTTGTGATTTGAAGCTGGCCTATCCCCGTATCTACCCATCTGCCGAAAAGTTCCGTGCAGGCGAGTTTGTGTCTGCGGAAAACCTGTCAACCAGGCTACCAGTCGAGACCCGCGGCACTACGGATAATCTGACATCAATTGGACCGACTGCGTAGATCCTATCTATGCTAGGATTGACTGGCACTAGCATCGGCGTCCAATCAAGCCTTGAACGATCGACTGGCGTGGTACAAGGCCTGTGTACCTTGCATCTGCTGCGAAGTCTCCGCATGTTCCGGAGGCTCACGGTACGGAAAGCTTTTCCAAAGTTCCAGGGTCGCAGTAAGCAAAGTGCGGCGCAATTTGCTAAGGTTTGCTTTTTATCATCTGTCGGGGCGGCCGCAACCAGACCCGGTCGCTAAAAGAGCAGACAAATGTGTTGCGGTATACCAGGTAGATATGTGCTGTTTAATGACGTATCATCAAGTGACACGCGTCGGCGTCAGTCTCCGCGCGCCCGCCATTCACAGGTATCCTAAGCTCTTAGTGCACTCGAGTAGTCTTAATGGTTTGCCAACTACACCTTGACAGCTGAATAGGCGGCTATGTATCCCTCACAATAGGCCAGAGAAGTCTAATCAGCTGGATATGTGGCTATGCATCCGCCAATATCCGCCAACGAGGATCATTCATTTCGTGATTGCCGTGTGCGCAGGAATGATGTGTTATCGATAGACGTGTGGGGACGCTGGTCTGGCTTTTTGCACACTTCTTGGAGGGCGGATACGTAGGCGCGCATTGGTGTGACGAACGAGGTGCGTGGGATGGAATTGCCTCAGGCAGAGATTTGGAGCGGGGTCTTGGTACTGGCAAGTGCCGTTATGCGACTTCTGTGGACTTGCATGTCGAGCTGTACTGCACTCATTGCTCACGCCATGTCGCTGTGCTTTGCCAAAGGGCTTTTGCGTAGACGCGCCTGAGCGGGTTAGCACGGGCGCAGTTCGGACGCAGATCTCATTGTAGGTAAGTGGGCAAGGAGCAAGCCTCAACAAGATGCAGGACTGTGGTTTGGTCTGCAAGAAGCCAAGTAGCCGCGAGTACGCGAAGGAATGGGGAAAGAGGACTGGCATCCGTTGAGGGAGCGGGGCAGGTCCGATTCTACTTGTAGCCGTTGATCATGCGCTCACGGCATTTGCAACATGTTTGATGCTAGCTGGCAGCTACATGGCCAATTCTCCAGCCAGCTAGAGCTCCGTTGCGCCACCATCAGATACGCAGACGATGTCTGCACAAGCTGGAAATGGTGCCCGATGCCGTCAACGGGTTTGGTGGTCAACGGAGGTTTCAAGGGAAAGGGCCGCTGTCACAAGCGCACCATTGGCATAGCGTGGCCGAATTAGGGCTCAAGGGCATCGCGCATGGTAAGCGCAACCGAGAAATGTCATCCTGGAGATCATCGCCGGGCTGACCTGTCCGACCATGCAGAGTCGGCCGAGTCACAGTCCATCCTTTGACGATAGAGCGTGAGTCGACCTGCACCCTCTCTGATTACTGATTTTGGACTCGCTCTGGATGGCACCCCACACTACACGCATGTGCCGACAGTGGTGAGGGAAAAAGCCTCAAGATAGCCGAGAAATTGCCGGACCACATTGGTCAGATGAGCGTGTTATGATGTGCGTAACAAGGCGGAAACAAGCCACACATGAAGGCACAGGGGAGACGAGTTGCGTATTCTAATTTCCAGGCCGCGAGTAGCAGTGGCCCCGACCTTCCACGTCGGGAGTTGGGCGAAACATGACCTGGCTCAGGGCAATCGTCATGACCTCACAAGACGGATGCCGATGGACTGCATGTCTTCTATTGCTTCTTTACGCACACTTGGCCATGGCGCAGTTTTGGGTCCTGCGCCTCGCAAACCGAAACAAGCTGCGTTGCTTTTGGATCATCGACGGCGCATCTGCGTTGTGGAGTTCCTGGCCGCACAAGTCGATCAGGTAAGAGCGGGCCGAAAGACTAGGCCAAAAGGAGAAAGGCGCCAAAAACGCCCCCTGCCGCGGCCGTTGCAGCGAGACCGGCCCACATCGAACAAGGGCTTTTGACAGGCTACACAGCATACGCCGAGCAAAGACATGTATCGCCATGATATCTCATGGTCGACAAGGGAGCATATTTTGCATCTGATCATGATCATCTCGCGCTCTGGGTAACATCTGCTCCTGTTGTCGGTGTGTAGGGGGTGCGCAGTAACGACGTTTGGGTATGACGGACACACGTCTCCACCATGCAAATCTCCAAACGACGCTGACATGGGGAATTCCGCTTGGCAAGCTTAGGGTCTGATGAATTTGGCCATTTTCGATAATTGGACCTGGTCTCCAACTGGCCACGACTGAGGTGAGCAAGATGAGAATGGTTTCCAGCTTGTCTCGAATCATGGGGGTAAGTAGCAATCACGGCGCTAAGGCCTGAGTATTTCCTAATTTGGCTCGGCCCATCAAACCCGTACGACGTGTATGGGTTATGGAAGGTGCTTCACTTGACGGATGGCGGTCGCAATGTAGCGGGAGTGCTATGCAAGGACGGCCCTTGCCATGTCGTTTTTTTTTCAATGTTGCACCCGTCGCCGTTGGCCGTCGGTGGTGCTGGAAGTAGCAGCGGCGCATGACTTGGCTGCGCAGCGTTGCCATTGTTTCCCGCGACCCCAAGCAGAGGCCGCAGAGGGCGCAGGAGCGACCAGGGTGCCATGTGTCAATTGTGTGCGCACTGCGCTCACGACAGGAACAAGGGTACAATGATTGACGTTGACCATGTCCTCGCCTCACCTCGATGCTTGAGTCAGGACGCGCAACCAAACTCGGACGTGGACTAAGCCAACAAGTACCAGAGTGGGAATTTGCACAATAGGCGTTACAGATGAGCATGTAGGTGGCATGGTAGCATGGTGTTGCACCTAGCCTCGCAACCGACGGAGAGGTGCAGTATTGGGAGGGTTAGCAGCAAACGTTGTGCGAGTAGTCGGGGGGTGGATGAATCAGCCCTGTGGACTGCTACGCAACGCTGGTGCGTGACAAGAATAATGGACGGGCTCCCATCCGAACAACCGAGGGCAACCCATGACTGATGTCGCGAGTGATAGTGTTTGCAAGGCGAGTAGTCTGCGTGTTTGGTGTTATTATGTAGCTCGCATAGAGGCCGGGCAGCCATGTGACGAGGGCTGGATCAGAAGTAGTTTAATGTCAGATGACCGAAGTTTGGCAAGCGGCGACGCAGCAGCAGCAGCAGCAGCAGCAACTCGGCCGCTGGCGCACCGGCTGTTTCTCTGAAAAGCGCCGGAGCGACGTCTGTGGACTGCGGAGACCCTGGCTTGGGCGTGGTACAGTTTGCGGTGCAGCAGCAGCAAGAGAAACAGCAACAACAGCTGCGAGTGGTAGAGGACGGGCTGCACCATGGCGGCGCGGACGCGAAGGATGAGGAGAAACGGTTTGGGGCGTGATTGGACCATCAGCAGCATCAACAGCGCAGCGTCGGCTGTCCAGGCACAGCGATTGGACCCATGACGCCTGCCCGGTCGTATGCAAGAGGCGCTGGGCAAGGAGGCGGGATCACCCTGGCTGATGCGATGATGGCTGCAGCTAGGCGTCAAGGCTAACAGCTCCGCGTATGTATGTCCTTGCCTTTCCGCACGGAGCCAACGGCTGTACAAGACTGTCGCGTCTCGTTGCAAACGGGATCGAAAGCAATCTAACATCTTGCGCGGGTACCGTCAGGCTGGCTCGCTGCAATGCCTCTGTTATAAAACTGCTTGCGCTGCCCGCTGTATCCCTTTTGGACGCTCCGACCAATTCCTCACCTCTGCCCCATCTCGGCCACTCTGTATCTACCGTACACGCTACTACAACCCACTCTGCTGCTGCTGCTGCTGCCCGCAAGACAGACTCTGTTCTAGCCAGACACCACCCACCGACACCTGCACCTCTACATCGTCATCCTACAGTCCAGTCTGTTTCTTGCTATTCTTCTTCTACTTGTTGAAACTTTGTTTCTCTTTCCTAGTCCTCGTCCTCGTCATTCAATCCTCCAACCTTGCTCCTGATCGGCTCTGGTCACGTTGAGCTGTGCTCCACATCCATTCGACCTGTTGCGTTGCCCAGTGCAAAGAAAGAGCTCCCCGCCCACGCACCAATCAGCACGTCCAAGCTCCCACCCCGCCTTCCTGCGCGCCAACGCCCGCCGTCGCCGTCGCCGTCACACTCCCACGCCGCTACGCCGCTACAGAAGGCGCTCCCCGCCGTACCACCGTGCCTGCCTCGCTCGCCTACCCGCCTACCCCCGCCAAACATGTGCACCAAGGTCGTACACAAATATGGCTGCGGCCACGAGATTTCGGAGAAGGCGCCATGCGCGACCTCGAGGACAGCACCTTGCGGAGTCTGCAACACAAAGACGGTCAAGCACGACGAGAAGTGTGATAGCTGTGACCACTGACAGGTACTTGCCGCGTTTCCCAACCCAAACCTGTTTCACAAGCCTGACCGCGCCGCCTGCAGTGTGTTACCCTCGACTGATTCGCACGATACCACGATACCCCATCATGGCCAGTCAGTGCCTCCCACACTCCCTCGCCGTCGCCGCACCATCAAAACCGAGCTTTGTATCGCTCGGCCCCCGCGTCTTGAGGCACCTTTGCCTACCAAACAGAGGCGCTGACCCCGCCCCAAGACTGCATTTCACGGCGTCACGGATTCAAAAGTATTGGCGTTCTTCGGGCATTGCGACTTATTTGCACTTTTGGACCCTTCCAGTCCGGCGTTTTGGATACAGGCTGTTGTTGCGAGACACTTTTCACACTTGTATCTCTCCAACCTTTTCTTACTACACGGATACCACGCTCTCCTAATATTGCCGAGCCATGCGCCCACGGCCAGCCACGCGGCGTTTTTTTACTATTTCCCTACTTCTTTTTCTTCTCCTCTTGTCATTGCTACCACAATATCTCCGTCTGCAGCCTCTGGTGCTCCCCCAACCTCCCTGCGAGGGACGAAATCCAGTAAACGAGCAAGTCAATCAATGCCTAGGCACCCGACATGGGCAAAGCCCCTGAGTCGGGTAGCCATAATCCATCTGCTGAGTTCATTGCGCGCTATTCCAACAAAATTGGGTCCAATACCAATTAACCAAGTCTAATCTGCAATACACTCTGTAGATTGCCGCTTAGTGCCTTGTATAACATGCTTGCGCTAACATCTATGGGAACGAGGATATATGGGCAAGGCATTTGTTCATGCCTGTGTCGTGATAGGACCCGATAAAGCACAGCTTGTCATGCAACACAGCCTAGCCATCTAGCACTGGGCGTGACACTTGAACTGGGAAATGAGAGCAATATGAGATGATGCCTGAGCAAAGTTCAATCTACGACGCCCCTTGGATCCTCCGAGGGACGGGCCGTGGCATGTTGACCAACGTAGCAGTAGAGCAAGCTTGACATCCTTCGTTCCGGCCATGCAGCCATATGTAGTCGAGGTGCCATGGACGGCCGTAGAACCTCTGACGGTCCAAAGCTTTCATGTGATGCAAACCTGCGGCCTATAGACGACGTACCCTGATCGCCAAATAGCCGAGAATGGGACGTACTATATATGCGCACGGCGTATGCGTCACCTGCAGCCAACCGGGTAACGGTTCTTCTAGAAGCCATTCAGCCTTTACCTGCGACAGCAACGGTTCGCCCCAAAGCTGAGCCACACGCCGCAATAGCAAACCGCACCATCAAGTTCGCCCACTTTGCTCGCCACAATTTTTGTTTATTAGCTTGACCCAGATAAAACTTGCGCGGATAGAGGTCATGAGAGGATTACGTGCCTTGTTGATTGGCGTCGTCACTTAATTTAATATCCTGGGGCAGACGCACGACGCCTACTGCCGCCAACCCTGTCGATGTCCCTGTCGTTATTTACGACAGCCCTTGCTCTTTTCTTCTCAAATACATCGAAAGATCTACAGTATCGAGGCGCTTGTGGGAGCACGTGCAGCCATACCATGCGGCTCTATTGAAGACCTCTCGACTTTGGTTGTGACGACCTCATGTGCACAGCGCTTGCGGCTTTGGAGGCCGAGCTTCGAGTCAAGAAAGTGTGGAGGGCAGGGTACAGACGCGGAACTGAGTCCTTCATCACGTCCCAAGGTTTCGTGAGGAGATGGGATGAGCAAGCGATGTCTTGGTGGTCGGGATGCTGAATGGTCCGTTGGTCGGCCGTCATCGTTTGTGCGCTCGCTCGGCCCGGGTAGTCGCTTCCACATCCGGTATACGTAGCCGCGGCTTCTTTCTCATCAACCCCAACACAATCCTTAGCCATGTCGATAGATATCAACTGGGACACAATTACGGGCGGTACAGAGGGCTCCGCTCGTGCGGAAAAAATACGAGCCTTCATCCACGACCGGTTCCAACAGATTACCCTGCCGCGTTTCATTCGTTCCGTTCACGTGCACTCGTTCGACTTTGGCAGTGTACCCCCGGAAATTGAGATCAAGGACATCTGTGACCCACTGCCAGACTTTTACGAGGACGACGAAGACTATCCAGACGAAGAGGGGGATGAAGCTGAGAATGAAGCTGAGGATGCCACCCCAGGCGCTGGCGACAAGCTACGCGACTCAAGCAACCCATCCAATCGTCCATCAAGGGATAGCCAGTCCAGAGAAAGAGGCCGGGGAGCAGAAGGTCCTGTGGGACGGAGTATTGATCACAATCAACTACGCCCTTCTCAACCTCCTGCGAGGCCATCTACCAAGCGCTCGTCATTGGCTCCAAACGAGCTAGGTAGCCCATTCTTTCCTGGAGCACTCACACCCGGTATTCCTGGTGGAACCTCTAACATGAACTATTTCCATCTTCCACTGAGCGCAGGGCTTTCTGGCGCTGCCACGCCTCTCGCTGCTGTAGCCGGTGCCCAGTTGCACAGTTGGCTTGACAACCCACATCGGCCTTCGACTCCAACCAATATGCGTCTTCGGCACGCTGCGTCTGTGAACTCGCTGACTCTTACACCACAATCCCACCCAGATCCCACCTCGCGCCCTTCATCCAGACACCAGCATGATGAGGGGAAGAGGCAATCCTTTGCCGGATCAGATGATGGTGCTTCGCCGCATGGCTACACGCGGACCCCATCTGCGTCGCCCCACCGCATGCATGAGAAGAGCCCGGAGGATATTCAAGTCGTGACACATGTGCAGTACTCTGGGAATATCAAAATGTCACTGACAGCAGAGATCCTCTTGGATTACCCCATGCCAAGCTTTGTCGGCATTCCCCTGAAGCTGAACATCACCGGACTTACCTTTGACGGTGTCGCAATCCTTGCGTACATAAAGAAGCGAGCACATTTCTGCTTCCTCTCACCGGACGATGCAGACGCCCTAGTCGGTAGCGACATCGGCTTCAATGGCCTTCAGACGGACGCGCAGGGCCAAAACCCACGGCCTGTGCAACGACCAAAGATCGGAGGCCTGCTCGAACACATCAAAGTCGAAAGCGAGATTGGTGGCCAGGGCAGTGGTAAGCAAGTGCTCAAGAACGTGGGCAAAGTAGAGTCATTCGTGCTGGAGCAGGTCAGGCGCATCTTCGAAGACGAGTTTGTCTATCCAAGCTTTTGGACCTTTCTCGTCTAGAGAAAAAAAAAGAAACGTCAGGAACTGGCATGCGTTACGAGGCACGGCAATGTGACATTCCAGAGTGGCAGTTTTGACCGCTCAACGACCCAAGGACTATCACACTCATGCACAACATGTCACATCTCCACAGTGGAGCTCTTTGTACACGGCTACCAGCATGCAAGCACGCGTTTTGGTGGTTCCACGGCGCAGTTATCCCCACTCTTGAGCGACGTTTGCAGCGCAGGGCTATACAGTCTTGTACGCATATCCTCCCTAGCTCACGCAAGGGTCTCACAGAAACTACTTCCGGGGACGCGGGCTGGACGTCCTATCATGGCAAATGGGTGCCCGCACAAGCGACCGAGGGACAGCGTTTTTTTGACAGCTACGTTACTTGACAGCGGGAGTGACAGAGGTCAGACCACGTTAGTAACACCAATGCAAGTGTCGGCCTTCACCCCCTCTTGTGCGAGTGCTACCTGTCAAAATCATGTACACCCGTCTCGGCATCGGGCCTAACGGGAGGCGCGTCGAGGTCGTATCCCGTCATACTAGTCGCTTATATCTCATCACTCACAAACTATTTGGTGCGAGCATATGTCGATCTTCAATGTTGCGCTGCCTGTCTGCTGCTGATGCTGCTACTCAATTGCACCGGCTCATGGCACCCCTTGCCGGCATGCAGGAATGTATACGTTGTCGATTAATAGTGGAGTCCTTTTTACGTGCATACTTCACCGATCAAGCAGGGTCTTTTTTTCTCTCTCTCTTTCTCTCCTCTCTCTCGAAAACCGTTTTCCTTGCCTTGTGACGTAGGCAGCACCGCAGATTGGATTGGCACCCAACAACTTTTTTTTCTTGCCCTGCCTGCCCTCGCCCGCCCGCCAGCGCAGCCCCAAGCCACCGATCTAGCAGAGCCAATTGCAGTCTGCCAGCGAATCTCCCACAGCTCCAATAACTGGCTTGCTCACAAACTTGCAATTGAACCTAGCTATACTACGTCTTTCTCGGCCATCGAAAACTTGGAACTCCAGACCACGGTTAAGAGCTGCCCATATCTTCCTTCCCAGACATCATCTATTCTTAGCCTCTATATCTCCCCTCATATGAGCCAAAACAAGATAACCTCTCTCCTACCCTCCCCTCCCCTACCACGCCCATGCATCCCCATACTCGCGCAATCCAGAACCCGTCGTAGTCTTCATTAACCTGACCTTGATGTTAAGCTACCAGGGGGGCTATAGCATAACCAGCACCAGCTTGAAAAGCGGCAGGGAAAGCGGCAGGATTTGCGGCAGTAGCGGCGGAGGCGCCGCCACACTTGTATGTTCTGCATGTGGAGATAGATTGGAATCTGCTAGCCTATCTACTTATCTAATCTGATATACCCTACCCTGACGCCAGCGAGCGAGCAATCGAGATGGCGTGCGCAACGCGAGCCAAGAGACGTAGGATGTGCATGCCTCATGTCGTACAGAGATTAAGCAAAGACAAGTGGGAAGAAAATAGCCACCGCCAGCCGCCGCCGGGAAAGCTGCTTTGTTTCAGATGGCGTTTGATTGGCGGGTGCGGGGGGGTGGGGGTTGTGTGGTTTCGCTGGGTTTAGGTGGAAAGAGGAGGGGCTGAGGATGACGCGGAGTGGGGGTGTTTAGGAAGCGTGCGATAGGAGCGTGTGTGTGATTACGGTTCGTCTGAACGTTATAACGGGCGCTAAAGGGCGGCGGAAGGAAGGAGGGGTTGGAGAGCTATTTCTTATGTGGAAGCCGTTCTAGCTGTTATCAGATCTGAGTGCATAAGTATGTATGTGTATTTTGGGATGGATACTGTGACTAAGGTGGGTGTTGGGTATGAGGGGGTTCATACGATGTATGTGTGTGATTCAGCATCCTTGCACGCTTGCTTGAGTTTACTTACTTCCCCGCCCCGCCTTCATATTCCTTCCAGCCCCTGAAATAGATGCACCTGGGTGTCATGAAATGCTTGAAAGTATGGGTAAGCATCTAACAAGCATGTCTGACGCGTAGAGTGACCTTTATACATGAGTATGCCAAGTAAGTCAAGTCATTCGGGTGATTACGAAGAAACTTCTAGGCCTATCCACCAGCCACCGGTTCAGCGACTACCTCAATCAACTCCCCTAACCCATTAATCCAAACATGTTGTTCCGTGTCTCCTTCCGACACGGATACACTCTCCAACGCACCAAGAACTTCTCCTCTGAGCTTCTCCAAACTGACCCTTCTTTCCCTCACGTCATTCCCATAGCATATTCTCACAATGACTTCCTTGTATCTAGAGAATATTCCCCTTGTCTCCCTCACCAGTGGTAAAATACTAATCCTCAAGTCGTTAAACTCTACACCTATCTTGAGATTAAACTCCAAGATTATCTTTTCGATACCCGGATACCCATGTTTTAGCGTCACAACAACGGGCGTACCATGCGGTGGGGTGTAAGTGATGGCTTTATTCAGTAGGCGTCGTAAATTACTAAAACCGTTGAAGTCGCTGCGGGTATTGGTGGTGCAAGTCCGCAATACGTAGCTCCTATGTGCTAGTAAACTCGCCGGCCAAAGCGAAGCGTAAAGTTGCTTGTTTACATGTGGTAAACCCAGTGGAAATGCCGTCATGATATCGACGTTGATCTCTGTGCTTTCGCCAGGGGGGAAGACGACGAGGTCTCTGATGTATGAGCGTATGCTTTTGGGGAGGCTGAGCAGCGTGGGTGTGAATCGTGGAACGAGTTTGAGCTCCGTATCTCCGGTGCCTGTGATAGTATTGGTGAAGGGAGTAGTTGTGTGTGGATAGTATCGTGGCCAGGCTGCGTTGTAGATACCGGGCGGTGGTGAGCTACCCCAGCTGATCATACCACCTGAACCATCATATCTGACAGCAACACCGCAGACTAAGCTCCCATAATCTTTCAATCCTAGCTGACCATTTAGAAGGGCTTGAATTATTCGTATGACAGCTTTGTAAACGTCTGTGGATCTGGTGACAACAGTCCCGCTATCCGGGAGAGAGACGTTGAACCCGTAGACCGCGGGACCAGACCATGCGGAGTAAACTTGTTACTTCCACAATACAACTATCCTGGTCGAACAGCTCTTTATTCCAATCCAGATATTCGCGATGGCAGATGCGCGTACAGAAGTTGATGTTATCGACCGCAAAGTTCCGGATGAGACATGCTCGTGTCCCTACCCGGTCCAGAAAGACCAATAAAGCATCGATGAAACAAACCCAGATACGTGAATTGCCCCGAACACGCAGCAGAAACGTGTTATTCGAGTAAAAGACTGATGATGCTTCCGCATTGATTTGCCGACAAGCTAAGAAGAGCGAAAGGGGAAAAGGTGTTTCTGAGCGAAAGGATAATGCGAGCTTAGATGAACGGCTTCCAGTATCACGGTGGAATGCAATACAGACTGAATCGGAGGATTCGAAGAGGTAGGAGTAGATCCTGTTTCGAAGCTCGGCTGGTAGCCCGAGGAACGTGGGGGTCCGGGCGAGGCCAGTGGGAAATAGCTCGGCAGAGCTCTCGTCGTGATCAGGTGATCTATAGTTCTTTAGTTTGGTACGCCAAGAAGGATGGGTGCCATGGTACTGTAGAGGAGATGGGAAATCTCCTCGCGCACACGGGACCCGGGTGTCTGATGGCTCCGGCTCGTGGGACGTCGTCGATGCTGTCGTGGTTGGCATAACGAATGCGTACGCCGAAGAATGCGCTTCTGTAACTAGATTCTACGTGAGGATGGGTTGCGAATACATGCATATGAATACAGAGACACTCATGTGCTGAAATCCATGTATGACTCAAAGAGACTTGATACCAGTCATCTTGCAAGTAGAGAGGTATGGCAGTCGAGATCGCAGTGATAATGTCGCTCCTGCTGACACAAGCATGGTTGATTAGCCATTTGTACTAGTTGGGCACTGGCCCCTGACAGAACCGTGATGGACAAAGAAGACGTCGATTCCGCAAACATCATGAATGGCCTTTGACATCTTGAGAAAGGACGTTTCAAGAAATTGAGGCAACGTGTAGCTAAAGATAGTTACGGGTCTGTTCCTGGCAAACCGATAAGATGCGCATGGAGATGTTGGTCGGTTTTTGAGTGGCTTGTTCAGCGTCGGACCTGCGCTGCATGTTGGTTGTGGCACCGATATTGGCGTCAAGCCCACTTTGGAGTCGGAGAAGACAGCGAGTTAGTCGGAGGCTGGGATACATTTTTGATTCGATATAGCAAGGTATGTTCTTGTAATGAAGCGTTTTTATTCGCATTCCAGTGTTGCGATCACGGAGAAAGAGAGTTGTTGTTGGTAGGACAAGTGGGATGTTGGATAAGCGAGTCAGGCAGCGCTGCGACTACTGCAGCGCATGACTCATGAAGTACAGCTAGCACGAAGGCGACTTCCCGTACTATCGCTCTTCAGCGTCTGCATTGCTTCCACTATTGACTAGACGCGATGAGCGATCCATGAGGATAGTCAAACTGGAAATTCGATACCATCGGCTAATCCTCTCACATGTTGGCTTTCCAGGGCTTCCATCAAATGCTGTAACGGTTTGGGCCTTGCCAAGACTGACTTGGGTGAGAGTTGGGTACGGCTATCGCTACCACACTTTCTCATCACACACACCTATATAGCTGCAGTTCCTCCATAGCTACACAATGCAACGCAGTCCTCCTCTTCTCCTCACACCGCTACATGATTGGTTGCTGCCAACGTCGAGTAACCCTGCTATCTGACATATAGATAAGAAGGGCTTTATAATTAGTGTATTAGGTAGAACCAGACATGTCAACAATCCGTCAGTTTCCCGTTAACGGATTGTTCGGCCTGACACGTGATTAGTTCGTTCAATTCAAGCCGAACCACCTAAATTTTGCAGGCCGTTCAAGCCGAGGGTGAAGGCCTGATTGAATGGCCTGAAAGGCCTGATAGTTTGTAATCTTAGAGTGCTTAATTGTGTTTAACAGTTGTTTAGGGATTATTTAAAGTTAGAAACTTCTAGTGTTGTAATTTAATTTGTAAGCCTCTTTTTGTAGGAAGTAATTAACCCCACTTTTACGGTAACGCCTACTAGTAAATGTGTCAGATTTTTATGGATGGGATCAAGTGTGTATTCTCTGTGTCTGTCTACGGCTCTGTCTGTGGGAGGTGGCCTCGCCTCGGGCTTGGCAGTGCTAAGTCCCGGCGCTAGCCCTGGTTTGGGGGTCTCATGTCCTTCCCCAACCACCATCGGCTCGATCATGGAGCAAAACCTCGCCTCAATCTGACACACCCCCTCAGCTCGGCGCTCCTCGGCAGCCTGAGGTGGAGTGGTCTTTGCGACATTCATACCGGACTATATAACAAGACTTTCCATCTTCTCCAGAATTTCCTCTGGATCTGCTTCCTCTACGTCTCGTTCCTTCACTTCAACCAGTCCGACCTGCGTCAAGAACTGGGGCCAGTTGTTGGCAGGCAGGGTCTTCGTGAAACCATCGGCGAGCATTTCGCCAGACGGTACATACACGACTCTGATAGACTTTCGCTTTGCCTCTTGCCTCAGCCAGTGATTGTGGATGTCCACGTGACGGAGTTTCGTCGTCAGCTGAGAGATCTCCTCGTTGATCAGCCGGATCGTCTGCGTATTATCGCACTGTATCGTAATTGTCTTCTCCGTCAACTCTACCCGAAGCTCCTCTAGCAGCATCCGCACAAACATGGACTCCTTAGCCACTTGCGATAGCGCGAGGAGTTCTGCTTCGGTCGTAGATGTCGTGATGGTATCTTGTTTGTTCGCCCTCCATGCGATCAGTCCTCCAAATAGCTTGATAACGTACCCTTGGGAGCTCTTGCGATCCGCGGTGTTGTCCGCAAAGGATGCATCGCTAGCTACTACCAATTGGTCGTCTCCTCCGAATGATAAGGATAGAAGCTTGGTTGACTCCAGGTACAATAGCACTCGGTCAGCGGCTTCTTGATGTAGTGGACCAGGGTTTGTTAGGAACCGGGCGAGTCGTGATACTGGGAATGCGACATCGGGTCGGGTGTTGACGGCGGCGAAGAGTAACGATCCAATCTTGCGTTGATACAAGTTAATCTCTCCAGGAGTCGCCAAACCCTCACGTGCAACTAGTTCGACTCTAGCCATTGGTGTGTTGTGTCGTTGGTCCTTGTTCGTTGCCAGCCGTGCAATCTTCTCAACATAAGCTTTCTGTGACAGCCAGATCTTTCGCTTCTCTCGGTCCCGTATAACTTCTACTCCTAAAAACCACTGCAAATCCTTTCCTCCGGTCAGGTTGTATCGCTGTTTCAGTTCCTCTTCCACTTTCCGAGCTACTTCCGCGTGCCGTTTCGAAGAGGCAAGGATAATGTCATCAACATAAAAGAAGATGAACACTCCGTCTCGGATCATGCAGCAAGGTTCGTGGGGAACTGGCGAGAACCCGATTTCTAGAAGGAAGGCAGTGAAGTGTCTTTGCCAGAGCAATGGCGAGATCCGTAGGCCGTACAGCGCTTTGTTTAGTTGCAGTATTGTTCCCTGCTTCCTGTATCCTGGGGGCATCCGCATGTACACTGTTCGATCAATATCTGCGTTGACGAAGGCGTTCGATACGTCGTATTGCTTCAGCTCTAGGTCAAACCGGGCCGCAATCGACACTAGCATCCGAAACGATCTTCCGGCCAGTGTAGCAGCGTAGGTTTCTTGTGCGGTGACATTTCGTTGCTGGTCTCCACGCACTACCAATCGCGCCTTACACTTCTGGAATCGATGGTGCTTGTCAAATTTGTAGGTGTATACCCACATTGAGTCCAGTACCTGCTGGTCGGTCTTCCGAGCCGTCTTCGCCGGGACCTCTGACCAGGATCTGGTTTCCTTGTGGCTATGGAGATGTGTAATCTCAGCCTCTTTGAAAAAATAGAACAACTCGTGATCCTCTCGCAGGCCGTTCGCTTGGGGAGGCGGTGGCAGCTGGCTGCGATGAGGCTTCTTGCCGTTTCGCATCATACGCTCAAGCTTTGCCTTGTCCAGTCGCTCTCCTGCCAAGTTTTGAACGTTTCCTGCCTTGGTGCCTGCCATAAAGGCGGCTGCCCATGGCTCCTTCAACATCCTGTGTTCCGGATGGAGGATACCACTCGCGAGACCTTGTTTGCCGTAGCTAGTGTCAAGACCTTGTTTCCCGTAGGCAGTCTCTTCGGATTGTAGGCCGTAGCCTCCGGCATCGCATTGTTCGCGTGGAACGCCTGCGGATAGACCATGTTCGCGCTGTGCGCCAGTCTGTACACCATGTTCGCCGTAGCTAGTGTCAAGACCTTGTTTCCCGTAGGCAGTCTCTTCGGATTGTAGGCCGTAGCCTCCGGTATCATCGTCCCTGAAGGGGTGTTCCACATTAGTTAGCATTTGAGCAAGCAGTGCTGCCGGTGGGGGCGTATGTGGTGGCGTCGGATAAGGTACTACCTTCCTTCCCGCCTCATCATACTCGAGCCGCCCATTTTCCGGCGCTCTAGCAATGGTCTCATCTTCGTAGAAAGTTCCAAGTTCTTCCCGTGTGGGATTTGGTCCAGGGGGCAGTTCAATAGTTCGAATCCATGCTGCTATCTCCTCTGTAGTGCTATGCATAAGATTGTCCATAACCTCTTTATGCTCTCCACTATATACGACTTCCTCGTCGAATACAACGTCGCGAGTGCTAATGACCTTGCCTATAGATGGTACCCAAATTCGGAATATGTTCGTCGAACGGTAACCAACTAAGTACCCTATCCAGGCTTTCGGGTCAAATCTCTGTAGACGTCCTTTTCCTCGCTTCGTGTCATCCGTCATCGCAAATGCCTTACAGCCGTACGCTCGTAAATGCGACAGGTTGGGCTTGCGTGGTGATGTAACAACTCCATTCTGGAAAGCGATTGCCGTGAAGAACATCTCGTATGGAGATCTCCAGCGGTTCTGATATTTCGGCGTCCTGTTGTGTAGGTAGACGGCGGTCCGGGCGATTTCCGGCCATTGGTCCCACGGCAGATGTGCATCGAGTCGCATTGCTCGACCCTTTTCTTTTACCACACCCCCTGAGCGTTCGGCTCCTCCGTTTTGCGCTTGCGTATCGGGGGCGGAAGGCTCGAGTACTATACCTCTTGTTCTGCACCATCTGGCGACCTCTGGCTTCACGGAAAATATCTCGTTGTCCGTCTCAATAATAGACTCCGCAACAATCAATTCAATCCGGTCACTCTCCTAGACCCACTTACCTATCTAGGTAGGGCTTAAACTCCTATAGGTAACTACTAGGCTTAAAGCGGTAATCAATCAATCCAATCTGAACCTTCTAGGACCCACTTAATTGATTGTTGCGGACTGTGCTCAATAACCTTTACCGTTATACCAAATTGATTCATCATAAAGGTGACGAACATCTTAAGGCTTTTAAGGATGACTCTTGCCGTTCGGTTGTCACTAAGATAGAAATCCCATATGTATCCCGTAACGCGGCAGTTAATAAGCATCTGACTCTTCTCCTTGGTCGTACTTTCTGCTTCGTAGTCGTGAAAGTCGATCGCAACTCGCTCTCCCGGACCTTCTAAAATAGTCCGGGGCGTCCGTCGTATCATTCGCTTCGACTTTGATATCCCACAGGCATCGCATTTCACTGTGGGGACCCCGACGATCTTCACCCCCTCAGATTGGTTCACTAGGTGTTCTAGGGCGTCGGATCCAGGGTGGCCAAGTCTCTTGTGCCAGACTATAGCCTCAGCTCGTTTTCGTACGGCTGTCCTGCGCGTTGGCTGCTGCGTTGAAAACGCTGCTCGCGCCTCAGCGTCATTGAGTTCCAGTATCCATTGTCCGTACTTCTCGTGTAGTACTGCCAGTTCGCTATCGTCGGACCGTCGGAGGATTGTTGGGTCGGATTTGGTGTCCCACCAAAGACCTTGCCGGCGGAGTATCCGGAAGGAGACAAGACTGCAGTGTAGGTCAGGGCAGTAGGCGACGTTCTCGAGGTAGAGGAGACGGTGACCGTCTGCGCTATCTACTCTCAGAGTAACTGAACCGTATGCCTTAATCCACACCCTTGTATTGCCTGCCCAGAGGAAGTCTCCTGTCATAGGCGGTCGAATATTCGTGAATCGTCCGAGGTCGTTGCCGACGTGTATAGTGGTTCCGGAGTCCATTATGTAAGAGCGTTGAAGTGGGTACTTAGATTCCTTTGCCATAAATGATGAGGCACAGATTATAAGGTTGAT